TGGTCCTGCTAGTGAAGGCAGGGGACTGCACTCAATGATCTTTCAAGGTCCTTTCCAGTACTAGGAGATAGGATATCTCCATTAATTTAAAAAAAAAAAAACAACAGTTCATGAGCAACCCATCAGCAAAACTTTTTCGCATAAACTATTTGATCAGTATCTGGCAGTGGTTCATGAATGATTTGCAGACAGAAAAAGTGCTATGTATTAAATTGTGAACAGCTCTATGCTGTGTACAATTCCATTGGAAGTACTTTCTGTTGTTCGTCCTAGTTTTAAGTTACATTTTTAGCAATACAATTTTTTGTCAGAACATGTATGTGTTCTGCTGCAAAAGGAAAATGAGGGGAATGGTATAATTTGCGGTGTGTGTAAAGCCTAAAGTCCTACTCTGTAATCCCTTCTACATGTGGGTAAACTTTGCCCGTGGGGCTAGGTTAAGGCAAGATGGGTGTGACACATAATCCCAGCAGGCCTTCTGTATGACTATACCTCTCCTTTTTGTGAAGGGTTGAGGTCCCTTAAGGATAGGCACTCTGGGTGCTTGCTCTGTTGTAGAGAACATGTCTTGGCACAATGTTCTATCTGTCACTCATTCTCCAAGAATACAGCGTGAGAGCCATCTGGCTGAAGTTGTTCCTTGTAGAGAGACCAATGCCGGCTGCTTCAGCCACTGAGCGGAGGACTACAACCTGGCCTCAGTTAGACTTATTAATGCCACACTGAACTGTGATTCCATGCCACCCTCCAAGGTCCTGTCCACATTGTGGTCCTATTCATCATTAGCACAGATGTCTGATAGGCAGGTTCCTGTCCCCAGTAACTGATAAGCTGACACTGATTAATCTCAGGCTCATTCATTCAAGGGCCATAAGCCTGAGGAAGCTCTGGTACTAACTTCTAAGTCTGCACAGGTGCTACTCTCTAATTTGGCAGACCACACTAGTTTTAGGCCTGGCCCTTCCTCACTGAGCCAGGGCCTAAATGCCTTGGAACCTGAATCATTAGAACCCCCGGTCTCTGTGATCATAGCCCCTTCTCCTTTCCACATTGTTACTGATTTCCTCTATCTTACCCCCCCCCGCCCCCCCAACCATAGCTGGCGCCAAGTGTTATCAGTGCCCTGATACTAGAGTCCCCTCTCTGTGAGGGATTGAGGGTGGTGATATCCAACCCCCCAGCCATGTAGTCAGCAATGTACCAGATTAGAGAGGTAGCCTCTCTACCTTCATCCCTCGGGTAACACAGTAGAGTCAGAAAGAGAGGGCTTATCCTATCTGGTCCCTCCCCCCCCAGCTATGTATCCTCCCCTCAACATTCTCACTACCCATAGCCTTACTGGACATGCTGGGTTATGCCACCATACTGCCTGCATCAAGTCTCAGGGGCTCACCCTTTCCAAAGAGACCAATTATATCATCTCAGACAAGCCCATTGGTACAGCCAGAGATATTTGAAAAGCAGGAGAGTGAGGAAGAACTTCATTACATGCTGCAGTCGATGCATCTGGCACAAGCTTGCACAGTTGCCATGAGGAGGTGTTATGCCATTCCTAAGCATTGTTCATCATTTTTAAAGGCAAAACAGCTCCCTTAGTTGCTTCCTAGGTCAGGAGGAGAGTCAATCAAAATCTCCTTCTTCCTCTGCTACTGTATCTGTTTAAATATACTGAGGCATTCTGAAATCCAACCTCTGTATACTCAACAGAGCACACATTGCACTTCTTTATCCCCTTTGGAGGCCTTCCAAGTGTTTTACAGTAATTGGGATGTATTAGCTAAAGTTTGTAGATATGAAAACAGGCACACAAAGTTTGTCCTATAGTGTAATCCTGATAAAGTTGCTGAATGGCTGTACAGAACTTTGTGAAACCAACATAAAATATCTTCCTCTCAATAACTCTATTCACAATCACGTGTTTCATTCAGCACTGCTTTTTCCCACAGCAAGCAAGAGTATCCACATATTGCAATTACTTTACTTCAGAACGTATCCAACTGTGGTCCATGACCATGGAAGGCTTCTTGCTGGTAGATAGAAGAGCTGACAGACCACATGGCAAGGGCTCTACTTCTGTCTACGCTGCATTGAGTTAGAAATACATAAATATTTTTTCCATGACACTAGTTCCCAGAGAGGGTGAGTTCACAAATCTATTGTCTGAGAAGCCCCCTGGATAGCTTGCTTTCAAAAGCTACAAACAGCAGGGAGATAGAGATAGTGCAGTGATGCTACAGTTTGTACATGTAAACTATGGTGAATTGGCTATATGATTTTGAACCACAAAGAGAGAGGCCACACTGGAGTATAGGCAGGCAGAAAGAGAATTACCCTAGACAAATATGTACAAGAATAAAAAGCCTGCCCCAGAGTTCCTCACCACCACAGGTGAAATACATGATTTAAGACACAAAGTCCCTTATCAGAAAACATCTTTAATCAAAATATCTTACATGCAAGGTGCAATGGATACATAGTTGGTAAGCAGGGTGGTATAAACATGTACCTATGGCATGTAGTTTTTACATATGTCTGATTCAAAATGATTTTTCATCACTTATTTTTGAGCACCCAAAAGCTTCACAAACACTCCCTACTCAAGCACTTACAATCTAAATATAAAATGCAACAAATGAAAACAAACTGAGAGCAGCAGGTTACAAGTTATAGTAACATCCCACAGTAATTCACACCAGTTGTGTGCTCATAGTAGTAATGTACAGTGGGTGTTAATTTTCCATGGTCAGCAACCCTCTTAACGCATATTTCCCCACCATCCTCCCACCCATTGGTGTCTGTCAACAGTGAACTCCAGCCCCTCAGCTTAGGCCTGCTCCACCCATTCCCTTCTAAGAATCATCTCTCTTCCCCTCAATGGAAGAGTTCCAGAAAGTCACTTCTGACACCAGAAAAGGCTCTGAGGGCTGGAAAGTAAAAGTTTGCTGCTGGCTGTTCCAGCAGCAGCAGTGTCTGTCTCTACTCCCATAGCCAGCACCAGTCACAAGGGGGAAGGCTCCATTCTAATAGTGTGTCCACGGAGAGGTAACAGTGCATGTACATGTGCTTGGGCCTTGTGCCCTAGGACTTTCCTCCCATTTCTCTTGGTGAGAGAAAGGAGTTCCTCTCCTGGCCTGTTCTTTCTACTCTCTCCCACCATGAAGCTTATAACAGCTTCAGTCCCTATCCTTGCCTAGCAGCAGCCACCTACCCTGTGAGGAGGCTCTACAGCCCATGAGGTGCCAAGGAGAGTGGCAATACTTAGACCCCCATACTAGTTTGACTGGTACCAACTGTCACATAATTAAGGGTTCAGCTCATCGGCGGCTCACATATCACATTTTTGAAAACACCATGGAACAATTGCCCATATCACGATGTATAGCACTATGAAAATGCTACCACTGTATTTATTATTATGAGGTACATGTATGGACCTTGTCTGAGTGTCAGATTAGTGTGCACTGTTTGGTTGTTCCTTGGGTAAAGCAACAGGAGCAGAGTTAGGTACGGTTTTTTGGATGTCCTAAGTCTGTGCATCCCCCTAGTTTTCAGTTTAGTAAATGTTTTCATTTTAAATATTCAGTTTAATTTGTGCACTATGAGGAAGCCACACTGTTCTAATGCATTTCTAGTGTTCCTATCTGCATGATATGTGCCTTTTAATTGTGGATAGGGGTGAGAATTCTACTTGATTTTTAAGCATTAGACATTCAGAGCTTGTTTTGCCCTGGAAGGCACTAATAACCAGAAAACTAGTCAAATGAGGACAATAATATCTGGAGTTAAGGGAAAGGTATCAACTGAAACAAGGAGCATTAGTAAAACTGTATAAATCTTTTGTTTGCAGAATCTTTTCAGTTTCCATGACCAACATTTTGGAGAAAGGAAGTCCTGGGTAGTGGGTGTTTAAATAACTTATTTCCATTAAGGTATGGTAATGTACATCCTTAGACATCCCAAATATTCTCCAACATAACCAGGAAAGACTAGACTTGATAGTGCTAAATTGAAAAGTGTGAGCAAGCAGGCCTTCTTTATGATGGAAAAAAATAGAGCAAATCCAACTTTTAAAAATCTTTGCAAGTCACCTTTAAGCATTTTCACCAAAGAATTAGATACATATTACTTATGTGAAGTGTTATTTTCTTCCCCTCCCCCCAAACCAGGAAGAAATTGTTCTCCAGAAGCAACTAATGCTTTCCTGCCAATCAAAAACTGGCAAGCAAAATTTAAAAAGCTCCTTCCCACCCAAACTGTGTTAGGAAACTGACCTAAAACTTTTAGTATGTTTTCTAATGCTAGATACAGGATATAGATAACAGCAGGAATCAATACTCAAAAGTAAATATAGTTCTTACATTTTTATTTTTAGTAAACTTGATACTGGTTTACAATAATCAACAACTGGGCTTTAAAATCTGATTTTTTTTCATTTATCTTAAAGAGCCTTTCAGTGGCTACATTAAGTGGCCAAGGAAAATGTTTCCTAAACCATTTTAATCCTAAAATTTAATATGGTTTTATGTTGATTGTACAAGTCTATTCAGATGTTGGTATCTGGTTAGAAAGTATCTTGTCAAAAAAAGTAGAAGTACACTGAACATGCAGCTTGCTAAAGCCTAGAGAAGCATCAGGAATGCTTAATGAATACATTTATATTTTTGAGTATTTAAAAAGAAGGTGACATTTGTCCTGCACTGAAAGTAGTTTTAATTGATTTGATTCAACACAAGTCATTTGCTTTTATATCCTATTCTGAATTATACAAACAGGGTTCAGTTCACGTGTACTTTTATAGAAATCAGATTAGATTCATACATCTGTAACAAAATAATCTCTTAATCAGTTAAAAACACCTATAAAAAGGTCTGATAATCTAACTTTTTTCTTTTTTTAAAACATCCCCATCTGTTTTAAATATATTTGGACTTCCTATTAGTGTAGAAAAAGGGAAAGGAGAAGCTATGTCATGCAAATGTTATGAACAGTCAGACAAAATGCTCAATAAGAAATTTATAATCGAAATGACAGGCATGTGAACTTTTTTCCAATAATCAGTCTAGCTTCTGTCTTTATAAAGTTACATACAAGCCGGGATACAAGTTAAGTTCCCCTAAAGTAAACAAATTCCTTGTTTAAAGGCCTGGAACAAATGCCATGCAAATGTTAGTCTTATTTCCACTTTAAATCACATATTAATGCTATATGATCAGAGGGATGAGAGACACTTGGCAAGGCCTGATGGGTGGTAACTTCTTCATGACTTGGCAATGGAATTACTTGTTCAACCTCTAAAGCATTTATGTCAATGAAAATGTAGTCCAGGCATCCATGAAACCCACCAACATAATTTGTATAAGCAGGTTCTCCACAAGCACTTTGCAGTTTGAAAGGATGAGTTAGAGACATATTGCATCTTTCTTCTTCTCCATTAGAGACCCAGTCTTCATGATCCTCAGCAATATTGCCACTATTGATAAAACTATACATTCCAGTTGAAGGTGTACTATTAAAATCACCGCAGAATATGACAGGTATGCCAGGATATAGATCACATGTAACATGCCTAATGTGAGACAAAGCTACAGCAATTTGGATGAGACGGATGTTTCCACCTATGAACATAAAAGCTCGTTAATTAAGTATTTTATTCATTCAGTAGTTTCAAAGTTTTATAAACCACTGCTGACTGATAGTTTGCAGCAATATACATTTTAAAACCGTTAGCAAGGCTTCAACTTCAGTGCATGATTGTAGGGACTGTGCACCTTTAAACATACCCCTGCAATTTTCCCTCCCACGTAAGAGTGAATCTAGAGAAACCAAATAACTTCTTTGCTAAGGATTGAGCAGGGGCCTTTTTCACCCTTGCTCAGTTCTTCAGTTAATCCCCTGGCCTAATGGCCACTGGCTTCACCCCCCATCTCAGTGGCTTTTTTCTGTCCCTACACCCTTCAGGAACACCAAGAAACAGGAGGTAATCTCCCCTCCTAGTTTTTGGGCCTAGAAAGGAGACGTGGTTTGAGAGGCCCAATTTGCTTCCTCTGCTGTCAATACCACAACATGTCTTCGTCAGTTACATTGAGGACAGAGGGAGCCACACTCTATAAACCCATCTATATTAGAAAATTACAGATTGGGCATGGAATGTAGAATACAATAATCTTTGCTTCAGCTATATTCTGAACATTCCTAAGCAAGTAAGACTACACTCTATAATGATATAGCACAATCCTCCAATTGGGTTGGTGCAGCAGTTAAAGATCACATTTTGAGAAGGACTGAACTAAGGAAATCCTCACCTCCGTAAGGAAAGGTGAGGAATTGTAAGAAGCAGGGAGAAATCCTTCCATTCAGAAAAGTGTGAAATGCAAATTCTAGTTGTGTAGGAAAAATGCTACTAAATCTAGCTAATAATATATACTTGTATACAACATCAGTAAAGTTACCTTTTGGATGCCAGTACAGATGAGTATTGGCTATACAAATCTTCCTCGAAGGATCATTTGTAGACTGAAGAACTGAAACCTGCATGAAATAGCACACTTTTACAAAATGTTCAATCAGAATATGCTTTACAGACCTCAGAGTGCCTATGTAGAATTATGCATTATTAGTGATTAATCAGCTTGTACCTTGGTGACAATTCCCATTTTTATACATCTCTTTCTACACATTATTTTGAATGTTATAGTCAAATATTATAAGCAATAAACAGGTTTTGAAAAAAGTGTACCTGACAGGAAATAGCCCATGTATACTAGCTACACATGCCATTATAACATTTCTCCCCCACAATCCCCCGTGACAATTATAGTATTTTATCAGTTCTAGAACTAGTAAAACAAGTGTTTGTAAAATAAGGCATTTGACAAATTCCAGCAAAATTAATGTATTTGCCAAATACTACTTTACCAGCCCTGCCTATCAAGTCTCTTGCTTTTGCTATACTTTTTCTTCTCCATTTCACTCTCTTTCCTGTAAAAGATCTTGGTGTAGCTTTTCCCAAGTTTTTTCCTTCTCCATTCTTCCACCCCTCTGCAGAAACAACATTGCAGTTGTTTCTCTGCACTGTGGAAGCCACCACTGCACTAGTTTGGGAAGTTAACATTTTTAAACAAAAGTTTAGATTGCTATCAAGCACCAGGGAAAGTTTAGGGAGCCGGAGCTGCGGTTGGTCCTGTCGGCGTACGCCGACGACGTGCTCCTCGTGGTCCAGGACCCGGGCGACTTGGTGCGGGTGGAGGCTTGCCAGACCATCTATTCGGCGGCCTCCTCCGCCCGGGTCAACTGGGTCAAGAACTCTGGTCTGGTGGTAGGGGACGGGTGGCAGGCGAGCTCCCTCCCACCCGCGCTTCAGGCCGTCCGGTGGAGCGCGGGTCCGCTGCTCTATCTCGGAATTTACCTTTCTGCCACGCATCCGTCTCCGCCGGAGAACTGGCTAGGGTTTAGAGGGCAGGGTGTCGGAGTGGCTCCGGAAATGGACAGGACTGCTCCGGTGTCTCTCCCTTCGAGGGAGAGCACTGGTGCTCAATCAACTAGTCCTGTCCATGCTCTGGTACCGGCTCAACACCCTGGTCCCGGGTTTCCTGGCTAACCTCCGGACGTCGATTCTGGAGTTCTTTTGGTCAGGACTGCACTGGGTCTCTGCGGGGGTTCTCCATCTACCCCTGGAGGAGGGAGGGCAGGGCCTGAAGTGTCTGCACGCTCAGATCCACGTCTTCCGCCTCCAGGCCCTGCAGAGGCTCCTTTATAGTGCAGGTAGTCTGGTGTGGAGCGTATTGGCGCCGCTTCCGAGGGCTCCGATATGACCGGCAGCTCCTTTGTCTCCATCCGAGAGGTCTTCCGCGAGGCCTCTCCGGGCTGCTGGTCTTCTACCAGGACCTCCTCCGGACCTGGAAACTGTTCTTAGTGACCAGGTCCGTGGCGGCCACCGTGGGGACAGATCTCCTCGGGGAGCCCCTGCTACACAACCCCCAGCTTCGTGTGCAGGTGGCGGAGTCCCCCATGGTGCGCCAGAGGTTGGTCCTGGCAGAAGTCACCAAAGTCGGAGACTTCCTGGACTACGACCGGGGAGACTGGCTGGATCCCCTGACGCTCGCTCAGCGCATGGGGCTCTCCAGACCTCGTACTCCCCGGCGCGTACTTCAGGAGGTGAGGGCCGCTTTGCCGCCCGCTGCTCGGGACTATCTCGACCGGGTCCTGCGAGAGGGCACGCCCCGCCCACCCTCCACTCCGAGCCCTCCAGATTTTTTCATCGGGCCCCTGCCCCGTGGACCCAACCGGCCCCCTCCCCGTCCATTTGCCATGAGCCGGCTGCACGATCTGCAGCCGGTTCTGTTCCGGACCGCGCCAAGGAAACATCTATACACGCTCGTGCTCCATGTTCTTCATGTCCTTACCCTCGCGTCCCGCCCCGACACGAAGTGGCAGGACCTTCTGCCACCTCTGGAGGGTGAGGAGCCCGGTGGGCCAGCCTTTATTCTGCTCTGATCCCAAAGCCCACCGGGGACATCAGTTGGCGGCTCCTTCACGGAGCCGTGAGCACGGGCGTGTACTTGGCGCGGTTTACCCCTATCCCAGACACCTGCCACTTTTGCGGCGTGAGGGAGACCCTGGTGCATGTTTACCTGGAGTGCGCCAGGCTGCAGCCCCTATTCCGGCTCCTCAGGGATATTTTTGTTAAGATTTTGGTTGCACTTTCCTCCTCACCTTTTTATTTATGCACTCCCTATCCGTCGCCCCACAAAGTCACGGGACCTCCTGGTCAACCTCCTTCTGGCCCTAGCGAAACTGGCCATCTATAAAACCAGAGTGAGGAGGTTGGCCGATGGAGTCTCCTGTGACTGTGGGGCGTATTTCAGGTCCTCCGTTCTTTCACGTATCCGGGCAGAGTTCCTCTGGGCGGCGTCCACTGGCTCCCTTGATGCCTTCGAGGAGCAGTGGGTGCTGTCCGGAGTTCTCTGCTCGGTGTCCCCGTCTGGTTCCCTTCGTTTGACCCTTTGACCTCACTCCTGTCCCTGTTCTTTTATTAGTTGTCCCCTATAATTTTTTGGTCTCCAGGTCCTGTGGACCCCCCCTTAGGCTGGGGGGGATCCTTTAGCAGTGGGCGGGCTTTGCCCGCACACTTCCTGAATCCCAATAGGACCAGGGAAAGTTTGCTACTCACACTGGCCCTTGGGGTAAGTAGATTTTTCAAGCCTTGTAAATGAGATTATATTTGTCACTGCCACAAGCCTCCATGTCAGTTACTGGGATTTCTAACATGGGCCATGATCCTGCAAACACTTATGTGGATGCTTAACTTTGAGAGTCGTCAATGGGTCTACAAACATGAACAGTTAAGCACGTTAAGCGGGATCGGGGCCTTAATTTTCTTAATGTCACTAACAGCGCAGTCAGTATCTCACATGCACACCCTACTTGTATGTCTACAGTGTTTCAAGATCAGATAGCCAATGCCCCAAAGTTTATTAAAATTTAGAATAAAAATATTTTCAAAACTAAAATCGGATCTGATATTTTAGAAGCGCTGACACACTCCAATGTTCTGTTATATCACAATTAAGAATTCACTTTAAAATGGTTTGAAGACAGAAAGAAACCAAAGAAAATGAATACATCATTTAAAATTGGCAGGATCACATTTTTATCAAGCCCACATTCTAAAGGGCAGAAATCAGGGGAAGGGAACTGACACTGGCCACGCGTACCCAGTTGGGTGAATGGCAACTGAATGACAGACTGTGACACTACCACCTATCAAAACACATTTCCTTGTTTTACACATTAAGCAGTGTGAGCGTCTGCCTAATTCTCAAAACCCTCTATAACTTAGGGCTTGACTACACCTACTGGGGGATCCACGAGCAGCAATCGATGCATCGGCGGTCGATTTAGTGGGTATAGTGAAGATAGACTCCTGTACTCCACCGGATCGAGAAGAGCAGGGGAAACTCCTGTTGACATCGCGTAGTGTGGACCCCACGGTAAGTAGATCTAAGCTACATCAATTTGAGTTATGCTATTAATGTAACTCACATTGCGTAGCTTAGATTGAATTTCCCCTATAGTGTAGACAAGGGCTTGCTCCAGCATAGACTGACTCCATGGCTATGTCTACACTACCACAGTAAATCGACCTATGCTACGCAACTTCACCTACTTGAATAACGCCGCTGGAGTCAATGTACCTTAGGTCGAGTTACCGCGGGGTCTACACTGCGGGTGGGGGGCGGGGTGTGTGTGTCAATAGGAGAAACTCTCCCGTCAACTTGACTTGCCTTACTCTTCTCGTCAGGGGTAGAGTACAGAGGTCTACTGGAGAGCGATCTGCTGTTGATTTGGCGGGTATTCACTAGACCCGCTAAATTGACTGCTGGTGGATCAATCTCAGAGCATCGATCCCGGCTGTAGTGTAGACACAGCCTATGGTTCCTACCCTACTCACAATCACAGCTCTGCCTGCCTGAGAAGTTTTTACTCTATTGCTGCTCTGTCCCTTCTTTTTTCTTCTACCAGTAGTCCTATAACGACCCTCCTCCTGAACAGCAACAGTGCCTCCCACTCGCTCTGCATTTCGATTTCCTGGGGGTTGGACACACCCAATTTGTGAGGCAGAGCTGCTGTACAAGCGGCCGATACCTGCAGCACAGAGGATCTCTGCAGCACCTTCTCCTGGGCTAACGGGTAGGGGGCTAGCTTGTCCCGCAGCTCCTTGTGCAGTGGATCGGAGACCAGGGCCTCATTGAAGGCAATATCGTGCTCGCTAAGCAAGGTGAACTTATCCCTGCGGTAGAAAGTAGCCAAGCCTTCATGCTGCTTCTCCTTGATCCTGAAGAGCCCTTCGAGGCCGAAGGCGTCCAGCGCAGGGGCCAAGCTATCGGCGAAGACAGACTTGTCCACCTCCTGCAAGCAGATGAGGTCGGCGCTGTAGCCAGCCAGCTCCTTCTTGAGCAGGTTCTGCCGGTAGTCGAGCTCCAGCGCGTAGGGAGCGCAGTAGGGGTAGAGCACCGTCCGGGAGTGCTCGGTCTGAGCATAGATGTCAGCCAGAACGTTGTAGGATACCGTGCGGATTAAGCCTTCCCCGGACACCTTCTTGGTGTAGAGGTGCCGGGAATCAAAGGTACAGGCGCCGGGCCCGGCCTCTACGGGGCCGCTGCTCTCCACCTCCCGGGGGAGCCCGTAGCGCTGCTGGCTGTTGCCCGGGGTGCAGTGGAGCTTGAGGCGCAGTCCGATGTGCGCGTTGGTCGGCGTGAAGACGCGGTCCCTGACGGGGGCTTCTACCCAGATGGCACCCCCCGGGGAGGGCTCGTCCCCGCCGCCCCCCGGCTGCTCCCGGTACCAGCGGAAGAGACAGTGCTGGGGCGCGCCGAATTCGGTGTGGATCTTGGGGCAGACGGGGAAGCCGGCGAGCAGCGAGCGGGGCAGCTGGAGCTCGATGACTGAGGGCGGGTTCCGCTCCACCTGGTACTTGACTTCGCCGATCTGCAGCACGGCGCCGTCCTGCCAGGCCTCGGCATTGGACACGTCTTCAGCCACGGACTCCCCGTCCCGCGAGAAGAGGCGCACGGCGAGCGGCGCCGCCGGCACCGGCTCCCCGGCCGGTCCCGCCTCCGCCCGCGCTTTCTTGCTCTTCTTGGCCGCCTTGGCATGGCCCTTGCCGGCGTTGGTGGCGATGCGGGCCAAGGCCCGGCCTAGCGGCTCCGTCTGGTCCCGCTGCATGTGCTTGGCGCTCCCGTCACACAGCACGAACCACAGGCTCATCTTCGGCTCCGACGGGACGCAGCGCACCACAGCCCGCTCCATGCGGCCAGGCGAGTCTCCGCAGGCAGGGCCGGGGGAAACTGCGTCGCCGCCGCTGCTAAGGAAAGCGGCCGATCGGCAGCGGAGCCTACTCGGGCCGGCAGCGGCTCGTAGCTCCCCCCACAGAAGGCTCCACATGAACCAGCCAGCCCGGCATCCACCATTCATCAGCCGCCGCTGCGTTCCGGCTCCGGGCCGCGCGCCAAGGCAGCCTCACATTGGTGACAGCACATTCGCTGGCAATCGCCCGGAAACCCGCGCCGGGCCAAAAGCTGCCTAGCTGAGCGGCGCGTCGCAAGTGCTGATGGGTACTTGGGTGGTCATATACCGGAAATGATGAAAGGGAAGGCCGAACCCGGGGAAATGCATTTGTGATTGGAGGCCGTCGTGAGCACAGGCCGGAAGTGCTGACTATTTACTTCCTGTAGAGAGATGTCTCTAGTAAAGCTGGTGGAAAGTGAGAAACACCTAGTGCTGCTCCTGCTGAGCGCGTACCGCGGCTGGAGGTCGCGTGGGAACAGGCAGCCTGGGGTCATGGGCGCTCCTCTGTAGCTCTCAGAGCCGTATCTAAGTGGTTTCCTTGGAGAAAATAATCTGTGTCTTTTGAAGCTCTCCAGGGAATTGTCCCTTCTCCCTCCCCGAGATGTCAGGCTTGTGAGGGCCGTGCCTGTTATCAGTTCTCTTCAGGGCTAAGCAGCTGGGACAGTTTGGATTTAGTAGGTTAACTAAACACTAAGTATCTCTGATGTTAACAGCAAAATCCTGCACCCCTGAGGGAGAGCCTTTAAACAGTCCCTAAAATGAACCCGCAAGAAGGGATTCACTCTCCGAAATAAGTGAGATGTGAAAAGAGATTGTGTCTCCCGAAAAAATTCAGACTTATATAAAGCATTCTTTAGCATAACACACCATACATATCATTGATACCTGAGGTTTGGATTTATTTTCTACTTACCTGGTTCAGAATGTTTTGTGTTTATTGAAAGACAGATAAAAATAGAACAGTTCAATCACTTAAAGATGTGATATCTGTAAAAAGAGTGATTTTAGAAAAGGGTTAGTAATTTGTAATATTGAATTTAACTATTCATGATTATGACTAAGACCTCAGTCCTGTAGCTGCCTCTGTGTGATCATTAAAGTCTGCTCACAGGGAGGCATTGGAAGGTCAAGAAGACCTTGGGTAAGTCATTTCACTTCTCTGTGCCTCAGTTTCTCTATTTGTAAAATAGGAGGGAATGATCCTGAGCTCCTTGGTAAAGTGCTTTGAGATCTAATGATGAAAAGCAGTATAAGAACTAGATATTACTATTGTTATCATAGTGGGTCCTTAGTAAGTCTCATCACTTCCCTAGATCAAAGGTCTAGTTTGTGGTTTTGTTAACTTTACTGGGGAAGTTAGCAGTAAGAACAACTATCTGTTGTAGTTATATAGCAACCCCACAATCTTTCTTTTTTGATGAATTTATCCTCACAATGATCCAGTGAGATAGGAAAGTACTGTTATCCCTATTGTATCGATAGAAAACTGAGGCACAGATCCTCAAAGGTATTTAGATATCTAATTCCCATTGGTCAATGGGAGTTAGGTGACTAAATACCTTTGAGGATCTGGGACAGAGACTTATGCCTTGTCTACACTAGAAAGGGTTTGCCTGTATAACTTTTACCAATTTCCTAAATAAAATAAGGACTTTTTTGCCAGTTTAACTTAATCTACTCTAGGACTTTTACTGGCATAGCTATTTTGGTTAGAGCTGTGATTTTGTCATGCTTCTAACCAACATATTCTGGCAGAACCTTTAAGTGTAAACCAGGTTTAAGTGGTTTGACCATGGTCATGCAATAGGACTGTGGCCTAGCAGGAAACTGAACCTGGCTTTTCTAAGTCCCAGGTTAGCACCCTAGCCACTGGATCATCCTTCTTCTCTGAATAAAAATAAAGTTGATTATGTATTTTATTAGAGTTAGTAGTAATATATTGTAATGCAAAGCTGAAAAAAATCTCAATGCCCATATAAAATCCTGATTCAGCATTAAGTGAAACCTCACCCCTAGCACCTGTGTTAGCTTTAGGGATCCAGTCATGCAGTTCATTGCAGGATTAGGGCTTGCATACTTAAATATTCGCAAGATCAGGTCCTAAAATTAAACTGCTTAAATACAGTTAAAGCCCTTGTCCTATAAATGATATCAGGAGTGTGTGAAAATCGTTTGCAGGCTCCTAATATCTTGGGTCCCAGATATCTAATATTTTGGTTCTTAATAATTATTTAATACATTCACACTTGTATGGAAAAGGTGCATTCCCTTTGTCAGTTTAATCATTAGTGGTTTCTGCACATCTCTACTATATACTCCAGTCTGAGTGCATTGAAACTTATTTGTCTGAACAGAGTTGAATATGTTGTGAAATCAACTAAATTATATAAAATAACAGTATTTCTGTATGTAGGACACAGAGGTGTAAGTATATCCCCCAGAGACCCAATAATAGTGACATGAGTAGAGCACAGAAGGCTGTGCACGGGTTGTTCTCTCTCTAGGTGAGGCTTGTTTAAGAATCTTTAGGCATAAAGACAGATTTCAGAGTGGTAGCCGTGTTAGTCTGTATCAGCAAAAAGAACGAGGCGTACTTGTGGCACCTTAGAGACTAATAAGTTTATTTGGGCACAAGCTTTTGTGGGCTAAAACCCACTTCATCGGATTCATGCAGTGGAAAATACAGTAGGAAGATAGATATATACACAGAGAACATGAAAAAATGGGTGTTGCCATACCAACTCTAACGAGACTAATCAATTAAGGTGGGCTATTATCAGCAGGAGAAAAAAAACTTTTGTAGTGATAATCAGGATGGCCCATTTCAAACAGTTGACAAGAAGGTGTGAGTAACAGTAGGGGGAAAATTAGCATGGGGAAATAGTTTTTACTTTGTGTAATAACCCATCCACTCCCAGTCTTTATTCAAGCCTAATTTAATAGTGTCCAGTTTGCAAATGTGACATTATCGGAGATACTGTTCCTAACAGCTTGTAGTCCATCTTTGTGTGGAATGTTGGTGTAGAGGGCTTCTACATCCACAGTGGCCAGAGTGGTGTTTTCTGGAAGATGGATGTTGGAGCCCTCTACACCAACAGTATCCTTGATACTGTAACAGTAAACCTGGTGGCTGAACTTTGTGACTTAGTCCTCACCCACAACTATTTCACATTTGGGGACAATATATACCTTCAAGTCAGTGGCACTGCTATGGGTACCCACATGGCCCCACAGTATGCCAACATTTTTATGGCTGACTTAGAACAATGCTTCCTCAGCTCTCGTCCCCTAACGCCCCTACTTTACTTGTGCTATATTGATGACATCTTCATCATCTGGACCCATGGAAAAGAAGCCCTTGATGAATTCCACCATGATTTCAACAATTTCCATCCCACCATCAACCTCAGCCTGGACCAGTCCACACAAGAGATCCACTTCCGGGACACTACATTGCTAATAAGCAATGGTCACATAAACACCACCCTATACCAGAAACCTACTGACCACTATACTTACCTACATGCCTCCAGCTTTCATCTAGACCACATCACATGATCCATTGTCTACAGCCAAGCTCTAAGATACAACCGCATTTGCTCCAATCCCTCAGACAGAGACAAACACCTACAAGATCTCTATCAAGCATTCTTAAAACTACAATACTCACCTGCTGAAGCGAAGAAACAGATTGACAGAGCCAGAAGAATACCCAGAAGTCACCTACTCCAGGACAGGCCCAACAAAGAAAGTAACAGAATGCCACTAGCTGTCACCTTCAGCCCCCAACTAAAACCTCTCCAGCGCATCATTAAGAATCTACAACCTATTCTGAAGGACGATCCCTCACTCTCACACATCTTGGGAGACAGGCCAGTCCTCGCTTACAGACAGCCCCCCAACCTGAAGCAAATACTCATCAGCAACCACACATCACACAACAAAAACACTAACCCAGGAACCTATCCTTGCAACAAAGCCCGTTGCCAACTCTGTCTACATATCTATTCAAGGGCCACCATCATAGACCTAATCACATCAGCCACACCATCAGAGGCTCGTTCACCTGCACATCTACCAATGTGATATATGCCATCATGTCCCGGCAATGCCTCTCTGCCATGTACATTGGCCAAACCGGACAGTCTCTACGCAAAAGAATAAATTGACAGAAATCAGGTGTCAAGAATTACAACATTCAAAAACCAGTCGGAGAACACTTCAACCTGCCTGGTCACTCAATTATAGACCTAAAAGTCGCAATTCTTCAACAAAAAAACTTCAAAAACAGACTCCAACGAGAAACTGCAGAACTGGAATTAATTTGCAAACTGGACACCATTAAATTAGGCTTGAATAAAGACTGGGAGTGGATGGGTCATTACACAAAGTAAAAACTATTTCCCCATGCTAATTTTTCCCCTACTGTTACTCACACCTTCTTGTCAACTGTTTGAAATGGGCCATCCTGATTATCACTACAAAAGTTTTTTTTTCTCCTGCTGATAATAGCCCACCTCAATTGATTAGTCTCGTTAGAGTTGGTATGGCAACACCCATTTTTTCATGTTCTCTCTGTGTATCTATCTATCTATCTATCTATCTTCCTACTGTATTTTCCACTGCATGAAGCCGATGAAGTGGGTTTTAGCCCACGAAAGCTTATGCCCAAATTCGTTTGTTAGTCTCTAAGGTGCCACAAGTACTCCTCATTCTTTAGCCATAAAGGGCTTTGCAGGCATGGGATCCCGTGAAGTAACTGCAAACTTAGGGGTTGGCAGAAGCTGCTGAATCCCAATAATTTGCATGGAGCTGGCACATTCTCTGTATGCACTTGTTTAGCAAACAAAGTCACAGCTGGTGCATGTCTGATTCCGCTCCCCCGGCGTCTCTCATTGCTTCTCCCCTCACCGCCCCCACTCCGGCTCCGGTAACAAGCAGGACGCGAGCTGCCGCTGGCTGAAGGGGGAGGCCGCTCGCTCTCTTCTCTCGGGCCGCCACTGAGGGCACGGCCCTGCGCTTGTCGCCATGGCAACCGCGGTGTTGATCCTGGCAGCGAGCGCAGCCTTCGGAGGAGCAAGACGCTGCCGCCGCTGCTGCAACCGCCCAGGCCCGCTCTGGTCCCGTTTGCCCCTGTAGGGACACGAGCCCCCGGCCCCTTCTGGGGTCCAGACAGCGGAGCGAGGTGAAGAGGGACAGGGACC